GTCAGATTGCCTTTAGGTAATGAGAGAACAGGTAGGATATCATCCACGCTGAATCAGGCTAAATCGGTGTTTGATGACAATATAGCGAGTCGGCTAGGTAGTTAATGTGATTGTAAGCCCATATTGAAATTGGTAGTCTTGAGAATGGATCAGCCGGTCCTCCTCTCAACCTGCATTACCCCAATGAAGAGCATTCACGTCATAAGGCTGATGTCACTACAGATACAAAAGGTAGTCTGATACCACTGCTTCCTTAGATGATACGTACGTAGCTACGGAGCTGAAGCCGAGTGGACGAATGATTCGCATTAAACCGGACCTAGGATGTTGGCGGATGAGTCGCATTGTCTGACAATCCCTGCTGATTCGCGTCATAAAAAGGTGATAGCAGTGTGGCCAACTATGACCCAAGGAAGACATATCCGGTGAATGTCAGGTAATGTGATGCCAACGTTCATGTCGAAAAATTATGCAGAAGGAAAAAAATTCGTGACCAGTGTCAAAAGAGCCGTCAACCATCGGTAGTACAACACGAGGAGATGAGTTGGGGGTACGTCAAGTAACCCCGTAAAAATGCGTCACAAACGCTATTGCTTGTGCTGTGCTACTCAGAGTCCAATTCCTGCCCACAACGCATCAGGATCCAGCCACCCAGAGTCGGGGCGCAACTGGGCCAAAGTGAACAATGCACTTTCGTAAACCACCAGCTCAACGTGCTGATTCATTTCACAAGATGAAGCGTTGCTCCAACTGTGATTCGGCCCTTGTGGGTCGTAAAAGGAGGTACGCTTCGTTCTCTCTTGTCTCCTCTTCTTGTGGGTGGTTGGGATCCGCTTGGTCACATGATCGTGTGCCCCGCTCTAGCCGTGTGCTACGTGTGCGTCTAACTCTCGCAAGTCTAATCCCCCGGTCGAGTGCGTGTCGTTGTGGTTTCGAGGACTCAGCGCGTCACCCGAATACGTGCGTGTATAGGCGCCCTGATCACGTTACGCGGTAACTTTCGTCTAGGTCAACGCGACCAGGTCTGCGCAAATCTGTCACGTATGGCTATCGCGCAATGAAGCGTCTATGGACTTTGAGATGCTACTCATGTCTGGTAGGAGCATAGAACGAGTGATACAGATGTTCATCGTTTACCGTTTGACAGCAGACTGGTTAATGTTGCGCTGAAGTGTCGGTTGAAGTCGAACTGCCCACATTGCCCTCTGTATAGCCGATAACTGAGGCAGTTCAGCGTGTCAAAATGCAGTGGACCCGGCTACCTTGACCCACGTTGCCAAAATAATAAGCAGAATGAGGAAATTCCAAGGCGAATATACAAAAATTGAAAGCACCGAGTAGAATAGTTGAGCCCCAACCAAAAGGAAACGAACGGATGAGCACCAACTCATTGTGACTGAGCCGTATCCGGTAACATAGCTGGGCACTGATGAGACCAGCCCGAGGATCCCATCCAGGACGATAAAAATCAACTAATTAAAAAATCGGAAAATTTTCTCACACTATCGCCATAGCATTGGTTGGGATTGCAATCAACAAGACGCATTGATGAACAATAGCACAGATTGAAACAGTCAAGTCGCACGCATGCGGAGTACGTGACGGAGTCTGTGTGGATGGGGGGGGAGCAAATCGAGTTCAACAGGCCCTTGGAGAAAGAGGAAAGAGGCTTATCGACAAACATCAGCAGATAAACTTCAGCGTCACTTACTCGGTTCTTCCCATCAGAAGGGAGCAATGTATCGCGCAGATGTCCGTGGTCAAAATGGTCAGTCTCTTATTGTCTGCTGTGCGCAGTAACCAGACATCTGATAACTGCAGTGATAATCGTCACACCTCACTGTCTTCTTAACCAACAGGCCCATATCTCACCATAAGACCACGAGAGCCCTATGAATCCGTGCAGGTACTACTTCAGTAATACGATCATTAGAGAAGGTTGAGCTACAAGCAAACCGAAATACTGTAACGAATGATTGTTTAGTGATAGTAAGAACTGGCGACGGGTTAGTCCAATGTTGAAGAAGCACTGTACGCATTGAAGGCGCAAAGCGCATGCCAAAGTGTGTAGCGATGCGTGTCTGTCTATTCGTCAGCGCTTGTATAGCAGCTGCATCTGACCCAAAAAAGCTAACGCATCCGTGTACTCCAATTCCGACGGTCAGTTTACAAACAGAATCGACGATTCTCATTACAAAGCTGGAGAAAATGATAATCCAATAACCCAAATGTACTCCACTTGTGGTGAACTTCTGTGGAAATTGCTCATGGGCTCATCACGTCCCGAAAGCCGTGGCATAGACGTTTAAGGATAGAAAATAATTTTTTTAGGCAAGCACTCCAAAGACAACGTGCTAATCGGCTGCTTCGTTACATATGGATTACCAATACTGTAACCAAGTGTACGAAGCCCTGAAATTAGCAACTGATGAGATATCGAACGTGCGAAAAAGCGCTTACCAGCAAACTGGGTGAAGTTGATGAGTGTTGTCTGCCGAAATCAGAGCTACGAAATCGACCACATCAGTGATTGGATAAGTAGTCAAGCACGACGCAGTCAAGAAAGTAGATTAGCCCCATTCGATGGATTCATGCCATCGTCAATTAGTCTCGCATTATCAATATCATTATTTGTGTCATATTGTCAACGGCAGTAGTAGTCGTAGTAGAAGTGGGTATATTAACGACGTGAATCTCTTTAAATTCGCTATTGATGAAGTCATGGAAACAGCGTTCACTGGACACGACCTAGGTGTGGAATTACTTCCTGGTGAGCGACTTCTTGACTTGGGGTACGCGGACGATATTTTCCTAATCTGTGACAGCTCCCAAACATACCAAGCAGCACTGGACCGATTAGCACTGGCTGTTAATCGTTTTGGACTATGCTTTGCTCCATCGAAATGCAAAGTACTTCTCCAAGATTGGCAGGGACCCATTCCCGCACTGACCCTTTGTGGTGATCTGCTAGATGTCGTTCAGGAATTCAAGTACCTGGGCAGCTATATTAGCGCCCGTGGGATCGAAGATGAGGTTACGAACAATATGGCAAAAGCTCGAGGTGCTTTTACCAATCTCCGCCACCTGTGGCGCAGACGCGACATTACACTTGCCCTGAAGGGCAGGGCTTATAACGCAGCCGTCCGTTCAACCCTCCTGTACGGTTGTGAAACCTGACTCATCAGGTCGACATACACAAAGAGGCTACTCACATTCGATCATCGCTGCCTGCGTAGCTTAGCTCATGTCTGGTGGAAGCACCGCGTGAGCAATGCGCGTGTTCGGCGTCGCGTAGTTGGTGCAGGAAGAGCGAGTGAATTGCTCAGCACCATTATATCACACACCAGGCTCCGATGGTTAGGCCACGTGTTGCGCATGCCAGCACACCGACTTCCGCGACGTGCATTGCTTGCGCGCCGGGGTGCGGTTGGAAGAGGAGACCAAGTGATGACTTGGTCGAGAGAAATGAAAACCCTCAATTCGAAGCGGTTGATGCATCCCAACTGTCTGGCTGGGGTCCTAAGGACGGTGAACACATTTGGTTGGACACACTTGCAGATATGGCTAGGAGCGGGCCCCAATGGCGTTTGTGTTGTGAGTTCCTTTGTCCATCCTCTTCCTGATTAGCATCCCCTCCAATCACGATCTCACTCGTTAGGCATAATATGACTCTCTTTTTACGACACGATAGCCAGCTATTAGCTCTCCGGAACGACGTCCATTCGTTCCTGGTGACTCAGCCGGCGTGCCACTGTTTGTTTTCCTTTTCTTGTCTTTTGTATTGCGCCACAATAGCTGAAGTGTTTTCCATCTGCAGCTAACGTGTATAATGATGATGATAATGCAGACAAATGGAGCCACCGCACTTCAGTGAGAGGATCATAGTTAGTTGACTTTACCGAAGTAAATGAAATGGGGCAATATCGAAATGCCCCCGGGAGATAGTAAGACGCGGATGGGTGGCTCGTTTGAGCACTAATGGCCCCAGTGGCGAGCACGATATCCAAAGACACAGAAGATTGCGGTACTAATCAGACTTGTGCGATGACTACAGTATTAGCTTCAGGGAATGTACGTCAAAAGAGCGAGAACAGCGTGCACCCATATGCTACACAGTGAGTAAAAGTGGACTTCGCAGGTGAAGTGTGTGTATGTGGCTTGTCACTGAAATCCCAACGAGTAAAGAATTGCGACTGACACTTTCGATGAGCCCAACTCCAGAACAACACGAAATGTTGGCAATCAACCCGGTTAAACCGGAGAAGCGAGGAATGTAGGAACGGCCACCGAAACCTGGGTCTAGTAGATGAAGCCACAATCGTATGTGCGTGTTTCGAACAGGGGACATGTCAACACTGATGGCATGCAGCTACGTCGAGCGTCGCCCGTGGATAGAACCGATGTAAGGAGAGAAAGATGGCAAAATCAACGAGATGCTAATTCCAGTTTGGAAGCTGGCCAGATTTCACTGTAGGTGTGGTTAATAAAAGCAAAAACGCTCATGCCAACTAAGAAAAACAAAGGAGTGGTTATTTTGAGCCGCATTCCTGCGACCTTTATCTGATGAGTATAAATGAACACGAAATCGATCGTGGAGTTCTGGGCCGCAAATGTGCAACGCCTAACATTCAAGGATAAAGGTCCACAACAGATATGAGGAACAGGAGAACAAGGGGCATGAGTGATAGGCGTTGTGGATAGAGGAAAATCAAAATGGGATTGAGAATCCCCCGTCCTATCCCTAAGTGAGCTGATACACAAGCAGCGACCTAAGGTGACGCAGTGGATAGCGGAACCAAATAAGTCGTCGTTATATTTTGAGGCCCATTGCCGTCGCGATTGATAAGGTAAGACACTTAAGTGGAGTGAGCAGAGGTGGAATAGGGTGAATTCGGTCAAATCACAGACAATTTGGGCTGCACAAATGGAGAAGTATAACCCATAAAGAGAAACATAAACAATGAACATAAGTGCCTAAAGTCAAATGCAAAACAGCTAACCTATGCCAGATCGTCCGCCTGTGCGAGCGAAACGCTCTGCAATGCGGCCGAGTTGACCTTGTTCTCCACAGCCCATTGTATAAAGACGTCCTTCCTCTGTTAGGCAAACCAAATGATCTTGTCCTGATGCAATCTTGATGACACGTATCCCAGGCATCAAGTGAGAACTGCTCGACGAGGAGGTCGAAGCAGATCGTGGGTCTGACTGGACGGAGACCGATGGAGGAGCAAGCAATCGCTTTGGAGTCATGCTAATTTCCCCGGGTTGTGTCAAGCCAATAGGACCATTAGGACCGCGGAACGTGCCCCATATCCATACTTGTCCATCGGAATCTAGGGCGGCAGTGTGGCTATCACCTGCAGATACCTGTAACAAAATAACAATGAAGTGGGTGTCGAAGATGACCTAGTTCCGTGTCCAAGAGGACAACGAAGGTGCATAACAATCGCGTCTTAAATGAAAAGTTAGACATTTGAAAGACGTTACCCACAAAGCACGCAAGAATTAAAAAGAGCATCAGTAGTACACCAGGAAGTCGTGCCGACGCATCGATGCCACGTGACTGACAACAGTCGTACTTGGGCTAAGGATACTGTGAGGCAGCACGAGCCTACACAGATGCGAACCGGGGACTAGAAGTCAAAAGTCCTAACCACGCGTAGACCGACCGGTTGGAAAATGGTTATGCAGGACACACACGAAGATAGACGCGATGGGAGAATCTGTCGAAACGAGGCTGGACCTTAACGTGGTGAGACGGTTTGAGTAACCTTTCGACCCATTGAGCTACACTGGGTAGTGCACCCCGGCTACTTGAGAGCTACCCCTATCATGTTGGTAAATGGTCAGAGATCAGACAAACTCAGTCTCCTAGTCCTCCAGGTTAAGAGATTGAAATGGGATAGTGTCCATACCTGTAAAACTAAATTATTGCCAACACCCAACTGCCATGCGGACAGGCATTTGAGCTAGAGGCTTCGGTTGAGGACCCTAATCATCCTCCTGTCTAGGTCTGGGCGCCCTGGCAGTATCTCAACCCACATACAACCATGACAAGTTCCACGAACTCTAACTACATCCTGCATCGACCGTTGCGTAGATTATCAAGGGTCGCCTTATCTGTTTCATACAGCAGGGCGGATAAGCGGAAACATGCTACTGCTGCCGCCTCCTTTCTATTCCACCTGTTTCTCGTACTCCTCTCCCAACCCTCATCACTATAGTTCCCGGCTTAATTAACAGCAGCCGTAATGCCATTGGAGTCGAAGCATCTGCCGCTATCTTCTCTCACTACCCTCTGGATGCCTATCGGCAAACGTCCTTTATAAGGCTCCGCTGTGCCGTCCGTCACTTCGGGCTTTGTTGTCTGTCATTTTGGGCTTTGCTTCGCACCCTCGAAGTGCAAAGCGTTCCTGCAAGATTGATCTGGACCGCCTCCTACGCTGACTGATGGTGGGGATCAGCTAGAAGTCATTCAAAAATTCAACTACCTGGGAAGTTGTATCAGCGCCCGTGGGATTGAGGATGAGATCACGAACCGTATAGCAAAAGCTCGAAGCGCTTTTGCTAACCTTCGCCATTTATGGCGCCGGCGCGACATTACTCTTGCCCTGAAGGGTAGAGTGTACAATGTAGCGGTACGTTCGACCCCACTGTACGGTTGTGAAACCTGGCCGCTTAAAGCAGCGGACCTGAAGAGGCTAGTTACATTCGACCACCGGTGCCTTCGTAATTTAGCTCACATCTGGTGGGAACACCGCGTGAGCAACGAGCGTGTTCGACGCCTTGTTTATGGCACAGGAAAAGGAAATGAACCGCTCAGCACCGTTATTTTACGCATCAGGCTCCGATGGCTCGGTCACGTTTTACGCATGCCAGCCCACCGACTCCCGCGAAGTGCGTTGTTTGCCCGCCGGGGATGTGGATGGAAGAAGAGGAGGAGTGGACAAGCGATGACTTGGTCCAGAGGAATGAAGGCCCTCACTTCTGAGCTGGACTCGGTTGGAGCGTCTCGGCTCCATGGTTGGGGTCCGAAAGACGATGAACAAGTTTGGTTGGACACACTTGCTGATATGGCTAGGAGCTGACCTCAGTGGCGTTCCTGCTGTAAGTTTCTTTGTCCCACCCCATCCTTCTTGGCCTCCCCCTCCAACCACGATCTCATTATTTAGCTTTATATAATTTCGCATAGTATTTTTTATGCACAGTAGCCGACTGGTAGCTTACCGGAACGATGCCCATCCGTTACCGGTAGCTCAGCCGGCTTACACCAGTTGATTTTTTTCTCCTTTTTTCTGTGTATTGCGGCACAATAGCTGAGGTGTCCCCCGCCTCTAGCTAACGTGTATGATGATGATGATGCTGTGCCGTCTAATTAGTGGTAAAGTCAATAGGCTGCACTCGTACACACCCTGGACACACTGGGTATTGAAGTTTGTTGTGTGTCCGAAACTAGGATCAATGACCCTAATGGGGTTGTTGAATTAACCGCACACGGCTTGTCCTCGCGATATTGGCTGCAGGTATCCGAGGATGCTGATGCGGCAGCCTCTGGTCAAGCTAGAATGGGCGTTGGAACGTAGGCTCTGAGTTCCGGCCCACCTCAGGCTATCGCCACCTAATGAGCCCAAACCAGGACGAAACCGCAGTCTTGATGTGCCAGTGCTGGGATGAGTAACACCGAAATATTTCCATTTCGGATACGGTCCTCGCGATCGGAATGACCGAGGTTTACCTCAAAGTGAACCGAGGTCATAATAGAAGTTGCGTGTCGCAACTCAAGGACGCAGCGGTTTCCCCAAATTCAACTTTGAACTTAGAATGAGGATTGTTCTCAGCTCCAAGATTAAGTCATCATTGGTTGACTGGATTCCGGTGAATAGTCGTTTTATGAAGCCCACCTGACGACATTAACTAAGGTTGATTCACGAAGTAGTACTAGACGCTTTTTGTTTGTGGTTTTCGCTTACGCACCAAAAGACACGCTACTACTCAGTGCCACCATTTCAGATATCATAGTACTTGCAGGTGATATGAATGCACAAATATGATGTCAGGGCTCTTCAGAAGCAAAGTTAGGTAGTAAGAACGCGCCTGACTCAGACCGGAAGATGACGGCGAGCGTCGGTTACAACAGTGTGCGGAGCACCGACTGTTGCTGAGTAGAATCGCTTTTAGACACAGTGGGCGCCAAAGTGCCACTTGGCGTCTACCTATAGCTGGAGTGTGATGGACCCGAAGAGATCAGGTTGATATAAGTTATAGGTGGCGTAGTTTTATCCCGTATTGTGCCTCGTTATGGAATAGTTGCGAAGTTACAGATCACGCTTTGGTACTCTGTCGTCTTTCCATGAACTTTACTGAGAGGCTTATCAAGTGCACCCGACGATTAGCGACAGAGAAATTATCTCAGCCGACGGTCAGCCAAATCAAGCAGGATGCCCTGCGTACCGAACAACGCTCTCTCGTCCTAATCACATTAATCTGCAGTGGAATAGGATCCCGGCGGACAAACACGATGCTGGAGCATCCGCTTGCCGGATTAGCAATCGTCACCGCACCAGTCACTGGATATCCGAAAAGTCGGTGAACCTGCTGGAATCCAGAAGAAAACTCTCTACTAGCTTTGAGTACAATGTGAGCAGACGGACTATTAGACGCGAACTAGAGCGATCCTAAGCCCTAAGAAGGAAGCCCTGTGAACTGGTAGTGCCCAATAAAAGAAAACGGGGACAGTAGGCAATCATCGCAAGTTCTTCTAACTGATTCGCACCACTGGTCCTAGGAAACCAGGCGTCAGTGAGACAATCAGAGACAGCGCGGATGCCATGATTCACATTAAGGAGCGCCGTATCTCTCGTTGGCCGGAACACTTTCAAGATCAGTTTGGCTGGCCCCTGTTCCCGGACCACTTCCTACTCAGATGATGCAGGACGAACCATAGACGGTTACTTTAGAGGCTCCGTCGGAGGCCGAAGTCCGAAACGCGATCGCAGCCCTCAATCGTTTTCGTGCCGCTCACCAGGCTTCCCTCCCAACTGCAGTATTTGAGGATGGAGGGGTGAGGTCCTCTGCAAAGCACTGACCTCCCTCTTCCAACGTGTCTGGAAGGAGGAGACTGTCCCGGCCAACTGGAGCGTATCGATTATAGTCGCAATATACTAAAAGGATAGTCACACCGACTGTACTAACCACATGGGTATTAGCCTAACGACGATGATGGCAAAATTACTGGCCTAGATTCTCATACTTCGCCTCAATGAGGAATGGGAATCCCGGATTAAGGAAGAGCAGGCAGATTTCCGCCCAGAACGGGACTGTATAGACCACATGCCCACTTTGCGACAGGTGCTAGAGCAGCGCCACGCATACCGCAGACCGACAATAGCTGTGTTCCTCGATTTTAAGAGTACGTTCGATTCAGTCGATCGATGCATTCTGTTCAAAATACTTGCGCGGAAAGGTGTTCCCACGAAATATGTAAACATCCTACGTGCTCTATACTCAAACATCCCAAGCCGCGTCAGGGCCGACGCAACTTATTAGATATCTTTCCCGCAACGAGTAGCGCACGTCAGGGTTGCCCAATTCCCCATTTTTGTTTAACTTCCTCGTGAACTGCGTCATGTTGTCTTGCGGAATCTCACGATGTAGGTGTTGAGTTGCTGCCTGGTGAAAAGATAGTTGATCTCGATTATGCGGGCGATATTGTCTTGCTGTTTGACGATGTTGTGGTGGCCCAGTCAACCCCGAATAACCTCTCTAGAGTAGTCCCATCATTTGGCATACGCTTCGCGGCTTCAAATTGCAGCGGTGTTACAAGACCATAAGCCACTTGATGAGCCCTTGACCTTTGATAGCAAAGAATACAAGGTAGGTGATCAATTCGCTTACCTTAGCAGCTGTATCAGCAATGATGGACGCATAAGCCCCAAAATCAGTGCAGGTATCGCAAAAGCTAGAACTGTCTTCTTGAATCCGCGACAAGTTTGGAGTTAGCAAGGGGTTTACCTCCGTTTTAAAGGCAGTGTCTAAAAACCCACTATGTGGGCCGTCCTATTCTATGGGAGTGAGACGGCCCCTACGGTATGAGGATCTGAGGTGCCTACAAGTATGTGATCATCGCTGCTTATACGGCATTGCTAGCGTCCGGTGCTACCGACATGTCCACAACGAGGATGTGCGTAGACAAGTGCTGGGCAGTAATAAGTAGGCTACTCCTTTAGAACAACAGATAGCATTGAATAAGTTGCGTTGGTTTGGACACGTGCTACGTACGCCTGGTCACCGCTTACCTAAAGGAACTTAGTTCAGTCTACCAGGCGTAGGATGGCGCAAAGCTTGTGATGAATAGAAATTGATCTGGC